ACTCCTGTCTGCTTTTCCCCAGCCCTAGGAGTACAGGTACTTGCTGCAACACCTGGCTTACACATGGGCCTGGAAAATCTAACTCAAGTCCCGGTGCTTGTGGAGCATGCCCTTTACTCACTGAGCCATTTCCCCAGGTCCTTGGCATTCTTCTCACAGAGGACCAATGGTCAAACACATGGCTGTGATTTTTTCCTAGTTTTTCAGTTTTACAGCTCAAGTAGAGATATCCAGCTACCGATAGAAAAATACAGCCTTTTCCCTGACCTTAAAATTGTCTATTGTGGTAGAAGGGGCTTAATGGAAGTATTTAGTAATTTCCTTTCCTACTGCAATTCTAAATTAAAGAGAGTTTTTGTTTGTTTTCTGAGACAGGTCTTATTATGTAGACCTGATTAGCTTGGAACTTCCTATATAAAAAAAGTACTGGCTTGGAACTTGGAGAGATCTTCTGCTTCCCAAGTGCTGGAATTAAAGGCACGCACCCCTACTTGTGCTTCTAGAGAATACCATATGGGTTGGTGGACTGAGTGAGGAAGATTTTTTTCTTTGTGTAGGTTGACATTATCTAATCGGCTGGGACCATGGGTAGAACTCTTTGGTGGAGCCCAGATTATTTTTGTTTGTTTGTTTTGTTTGTTGAGACAGAGTTTCTCTGTGTATCCCTGGCTGTCCTGGAACTCACTTTGTAGACCAGGCTGGCCATGAACTCATAGATCTGCCTCCTGAGTGCTGGGATTAAACCAATGTTTTTGCTCTTGAACCACAGAACTCCAGAATCAGAATCTTGAATCTTTACCCTTCAGATTGAAAGCTAGCCAGGTGTCAAGGCCTGTAATGCCATCACCACGGGAGGCAGAGGAAGGTGGATCGCTGTGAATTTGAGGCCAGCCTGGTCTACAAAGCAAATCCAGGACAGCCAAGGTTCACAGAGAAACCCTGTCTCAAAACAAACAAACAAATTATATATAAGATTTGTTGGACTAGCTGGGCATGGTGGCACACATCTTTAACCCCAGCACTCAGGGAGGCAGAGGCAGGCAGATAGCTGTGAGTTTGAGGCCAGCCTAGTCTACAAAGCAAGTACAGGACAGCCAAAGCTACACAGAGAAATCCTGTCTCAAAAAAAAAAAAAAATGTTTGCTGCATTGTCTTTGAATTTTGCCACATTTTTTTGTCTCTTGGTCTCTGGGTTGATTTAATTTCCAACATGGGAAAAACAAGGGCTCATATGAACTGAAAGTTGAAACTGACACTAATTATCTACTTTTCATGCACCTGGCTTAATAGGCCAGAAAGGGGCTTTCTGTTTGGCAAAGGTAATTGATTCTGATTATCAAAGGGAACTAAAGAGAGTATTACAAAATGGAGTGAGGAGAGAACATATCTGGAAAGAGCTGGTTTATGGGTTAAGAGCACTTGTTTTTGCAGTGTCCTGGGATCCAGATGGTGGCTCACAGCCACCTGTAACTCCAGGTCTAAGGGACACCACACTCTCCTGGTACCTGAGGAGATCCAAGGAGGGTGTGGAATCCCTTACAAGTGGTGCACATACATAGATGTACATATGCGGTTATTGTGTTGCCCCTTACATTGTGCATATAAACTGTGGTTATGTAATTGTCTCTTTTGAGTTACGCAGCTTTATGTTCCTTGTTAATTTCATTCTGTTTCATAAACATGGTTTAGTTATATGATGCTGATGTCTTCAAACAGCTTTTTATTCAAAATGTCCAGACTGAATTAACTGAAAGGTTCTGCTTTGCAAGGTATGTGAGCTAGATTGCTTCTTTCCAATACATTTCTTTTTCAGTTACCTTGACTAGAGAAAGCCAGGCATGGTGGCCAAGCCTATAGTCCTAGCACTAGAGAAGCTAAGAAAGGAGGATCCCCACAGGTTTGAGGTCAGCTACATAGTTCCAAGAGAACGTGGGCTGCAGAGTGAGATCCTATTGCAAACAAACAAGCAAGCAAACTGACAATGCTAGTCACTTCCATTATTTGTTTTTCTTTCTTTCTATGTCTGCAGGCGCTAGTTTTTTGAATGCTACTTTATTTTGGGGGTTCTTTAAAGCTTATACCCCTCTTCCAACCCCTAACCCCAGATAGAGGAAAAAAGAAGGTTATAAGGGAAAGCAGACCTAGACGTTTTTACTTCTTCCTGCTGGGTAGGGTCGTAGGATTCTTGTGGGGATAATACCAATATTTGTTGTCAGGAAATCCAGAAGTCTGGCTAACCAGCAAAAAGCAAATCAGCAAGCAGTCCTCTGCCTCCTGCAAGACACCACGCCTTCTTCCTCTGGGCTGTCATATTTATATTCTCAAAATCCTCAAACTTCAACTAATCCTAGCTGGCAAAGACCACACTCCAAATGAGACAATTAACAGGTGTGGACAAACTAAAATCCCACACTTGGGATTATTACAAAACATGTTTATATATCATAAACCAAAATGTTCCACAACATACATCTTTTTTGTTTGTTTGTTTTTGGAGACAGGGTTTCTCTGTGTAGCCTTGGCTGTCCTAGACTTGCTTTGTAGACCAGGCTGGCCTCAAACTCACAGAGATCTGCCTGCCTCTCCCTTCCTGAGTGCTGGGATTAGAGATGTGTACCACCAAAAGTAGCCACTTCTATTACTTATAACCAAAGAAGAGTGCTAAGTAAGTTCCAAACAAAAGGTCTTGAAAATGTGGACTATCTGGAATTGATCGTCAGCCTTGATAAGACTAGGTCTCAGTTACTTTTCTGCTGCTGTGATAAAATATCCTGACAAGAGCAACTTAAGGGAGGAAGGATTTAATTTGGTTCGCAATTTGAGGGCATAGTCCATCATGGTGGGAAAGTTCTGGCAGCAAGACCTTAAGACAATTAGTCATATCACATCCATAGTCATGAGCAGAGAGAAATGAATGTATGCATGTGTGCTTGATTGCTCTAAGTTCATTTTTCTACTTTTATCCAGTTCTGGACCTCTTGCCTAGGAGATGATGTCACCCACAGTGGGCAGGGTCTTCCCACATTAATTAACTTAAGACAGGCAATCTTTCACAAGCAAGCCAGGAAGCATATATGTATTCTTTTTTCTCTGTTCTAGACTGTGGATGAGGTGTGACCTGCTGCCTTAGCTTTCCTGCTATGAGGGACTACAAATAGTCTGAGATTATGAGCTAAAATAAACACTTTCTTCCTAAATTACTTTTTGCTAGGTATTTTATCACAGTAACATAAATTAAAACAAATGGGAATTTACTGAATACTTCATTTTGCCTTCATTGGTCTATCATAAATTTCTTTTATGTTTTTCTAAATTTTCTGATTATCATATTTTTGTATGCATTTATCTGCCTATTTTTCCAAACACATACACACATATACATATATAGTATATGTCATATACATAAATAGTAAAATTTTTTTATCTATGCCATATATAATTATAATTTTTGAAGCTGTTAGTGGATTTCTTTAGCCATTTGTGGCAATGATTCATCACACATGAGGGTTTGCCACCTGGAATCAACTGGCAGTTATAATCAGCTTCCCTTCACCCACATAAACACCTGGAGATTCACTTCATCAGCCCCCAGTTGCTAGCTGGTAGCAGAAGTCAAAAGTTCTCCAGTGGGCAGACAGTTAAAGGATTCCAAGGTAAGCCAAATTTGTTCCAGTATTCTTTTTATCATCTTTTGACCAGTCAGTTCAATCTGCACTCTGTTCTTTTCATTTGACAATGTTTGCTGAGCATCTCCTTACATTCCAGAGACTGTTCCAGACACTAGATACACTGTTGTGGCTTTTTCTGGGGAGACAGGAACAAATGTCTGTGATGGTTTAAATTAGAAATGTCTAATTCAATGTCTCAGTCATTTTACTTGGTTCCCAGTTGGAGACACCTTAGGCTTAGGATTTGCTGTTGGCAGCCTGTCATGCAGAGTGGAGGTGGGAGTGGGCATACGCCTTTACCTAAGTCATCTTACCCCCTCCTTTTTTAAAGACTTTATCTTTCTTCCCTTCCCTCCCTCCCTCCCTCCCTTTTTTCCTTCCTTCCTTCCTTCTTTCCCTCCCTCCCTCCCTCCTTCCTTTGTTTCTCTTTCTTCTTTCTTTCTTCTTTTGAGACAGGGCTTCTCTGTATCACCCCAGCTGTCTTGAAACTCCGTAAGTAGACCAAGGTGGCCTTGAACTCAAGAGATCCATTTGTCTGTGTCTCTAGAGTGCTGGGATTAAAGGCATGTGCCACCCCATTGAGGGGAGTTGCTTTGCTCCCTCCACTTTTATTTGGGTTCTGGGAATCCAGCTCAGGTGTTTAGGCTTATATTGAAGATGCCTTACTGGTAGAACCATCTTGGCAGTCCTTCAGAGGGTCTCTTAACCTCAGTTTATAGGTGCTCTGTCTCACACCACTGTGTTAAAGTCAGATCCCAGCTCCTTTTTGTTTTTTAACTACTCATCCCCTTACACTTCACTACTGCTTTCGTTCAAGTGCAAGCAGTAAGCTGTCACTTAAGGCACTAACCCTTTAAAAATCTGTAACTTGCAGCCGGGCACATGCCTGCGGAGGCATTTGAGTTCGAGGCCAGCCTGGTCTACAAAGCGAGTCCAGGACAGCCAAGGCTACACAGAGAAACCCTGTCTCGAAAAACCAACAACCAGAAAAACCGTTGTAACCTGCGAACGTGATGATAACAGGTTTATTCTAGGGCAAGAGACAAAAAAATTAGTGGTGAATTGCGGAGGGCTCCTAGCACCGCCAGAGCCCGGTCTAGGTTTATTGTGAGCATACAGTGAGCAGAGCCCCACCTCTTCCGCGGCCTTCCCGCGCGCCCCGCGGGGCGTCCCTAGCAACGCGCGCGCTCACTCGCAGCCCCGCCCCGTGAGAGGTGGTGGCGGCAAGCGCGCCTGCGCGCGGCCGCAACCGCCAGTCAACTCGCTTCCCCTCCCTCCCCGCGCCCCTCCCCTCTCCTCCTCCTCCACAGCCGCCTGGTGCGAGACGCCAATATGGAGCCGGAGGACTTGCCGTGGCTCGGCGAGCTGGAGGAGGAGGAGGAGGAGGAGGATGGGGAGGTGTTGGAGAACGAGTTAGGGGCTGCGACCGAGGGGGCGGAGGAGGCCCGGACCTCTGAGGAGACCACGGGAATGGAAGAGTTTGACGAGGGGGAGCCCGAAGTGGACTTGGATTTTAACTGCGAGTCCCAGCCGCTGGAGAGCACGGACGAAGAGGAGGACGAGATGGCTAAAGCCTGGTTGGAGGCTCAGCCTGTCCAAGCTACTAGACTTCTCCTTCCGCCCCCGCCCCCGCGACACCTGTACCGGGACAAGACGAAGGTGAGGGGCGCCGCTGCAGCCGGGGTCCGGGCTGTGGGGAGCAGCGGGGCTGAGGGCCAAGTGCCGGTCGAGGTGCTTCCTCTGCTGAAATTGGTCCAGGATCTCAGGGCCTGCTCCCTGCGGGACTGGACACCAAACTCTTCGCAGTCTCGGGTTCTTCCTGGCTGTGACATCTCTGGTGTCTCTCCCGCCTCTTAGTGAGTCCGTTTTTGTATTTTTGTTTTTGCTTTTTGCAGTAGGGCAGATATGATAGATGCGCTGGGAGCCAGTACTGCCAGGGCATGCAGTTAGAAAGGCTTTTTGGCAGGAGTTGGGAGCTTGGGGGGTGGGGGAGGCTAGGGAATAGCTAGCTAGTGGAGAGACATTTAGCACCCTAGTTTTATTGAAGTACAAGAAGCCCCCCCCTTCCCGGGAGGAATCAGTGTAGGTTTTGCGCGAGCTCTCGAGAAGCTTCCCGCCCATTGTGTGTCTCTGAGAATGCATTTGTAGCAATTAATGGGTCCCTAGCCAGTGGCAGGAACTTAGAATGGAAGTAGCTTGTGAGGCAGCTCTACCCTAGAAAATTAGAAAGCACGAGGTTAAAAACCAAATGGAGGAAGAGAGTTTACAGAGCTCCGGCCAAGATCATTTTGAAACTAACCATGCTCTAAATGCCTTTTAACTGTCTGGAACTGCGTTGTTCCTGACGGCGATGTGTGGCTCTTTACATGTTAATTAGTTAGTAAGAAGGAAGACTAGAGGGGCTGGTGGTGTGTTTAAGTGGTGGAGGGAGGTCTTGCCTAGTGTGTTCAAGGTTCTGAGTTCAAGCCCTAGTACTTGGGGTGGGGGCGGGGGAGAAAGAATAAAATTAGGAATTCAGTGCCCCTGTTTTAATCGCTTCTCAAATGCTTAATGGCCATGCTCAGTTAGTGGTTGTCACATTGGATATAGTTACAGAACGATTCCATTGATCACAGTGATAGTGTGTGCCGTGGTGACTGAAGAGCAGTGCCTGATGTTTGCTTGCTAGATTTTGCAGGGGGATGTTTAATTCACTCAGCTTATGCTTGAAGTATTCACCTTGTACTTGATGAAAAGGAAATGACAAACCAAACTGCCGCCTTTCTGGTGTTCCCATTCTAAAGAGAGAGGCAGATAAAATTCACATGGTCTCTAAGTAAAACTGGTGTGTGCTAAAATGCTGTGAATGCATAAAATAGGTAACCTGGATTTGTCAGTGAAGATTGGGGAGTTACCTTGAAGACTATAAAGCTAACTAAATAAGGGTTTTAAAAAGTCTAGATGAGGAAGGCACTTCTGGTTAGCAAGAGTGCCATTTTCACATTTTACATTTGTTTTTATTTTTATTTTTGTAGGACTAGGATTGAACCTGGGCCTCTGGGCACGCTAGGCAAACATTCTATCTACCACTGGGCCACATTGTTTAAAGCATGCCATTTTCAAGGTCAAGTCTGGACTACAAGGTTTTATATGTTATGCCAGGGATTTCGAGGCATTATCCCTGGAATTTGAGAAGACAATAAAATGTTCTAAAGAAATTTATGAATAGATTTGTGCTTTAGCAAGATAATTAGTAGTAGCTAATGCTAGTAGGGGGAGATATAAAGCAGCCTGAATAAGTGAAAGACACTAATTAGAGGGTCAGACAAAAAGTTTTTTAGAACAAGGAAGTGAGTAGCATGTACTTTTTAATTCTAGGGTTTAGTTTGTTTGGTTGGTTTTTGGTTTTTTAAGACAGGATTTCATTGTATAGCCTTGGCTTCCTGGAACTTGCTCTGTAGACCAGGCCGGCCTCAAACTTACAGAGGTTTGCCTGTCTCTGCCTCTGAGTGCTGGAATTAGAGATGAGCACTGCCATGAGCAGCTAATTCCAGCATTTAGAAAAGTGGGCCTCAACCTTTCTAATGCTGCCACCGTTTAATACAGGGTTATGTTGTGCTGACCCTCAACCATAAAATTATTTCATTGCTACTTCATAACTGTAATTTTGCTACTGTTGGTTGGCTGTTTGGTTGGTTGATAGGTTGGTTTTTGGAGACAGGATTTGACAATTTTGCTGCTGTTGTGAATTGTAATGTAAATTCAGGGTATCTGATATGCAACCCCTAAGGGGCTGAGGCCCACAGGTTGAAAACTGCTAATTTAGAGTCAAAGGCGGGTGGTTCTCTTGAGTTCCAGACCAGCCTGGGTCTGTATACAACAGGGAAATTGATGGGAAAAGTAGGTTGTTTCAAGATATATTTGTCATGCTGTGGACAGTGTTGACAGACTGGTATACATGGTGCTGTGAATTCACTGAGACAAAAAGCCACAAGTGGAAAATTTAGGCTCTTTCGTGGGAGACTTTTCTGGCATTGTTTCAGTGTCATGGTGCCCTGGTTGTTTAGGTCTAGTGGGACCCCGTGTGGGCTTTTTTTTTCAACTGGTTATCTGTGCAGGGCAGGTATGGGTCACTCAGGGTCAAATTTCTGATGGTCTAGTGTACTCACTCAAGAGTGGAGACAGTCCTGTCAGTATGCCCTGAGACAGATTGCAGCCAGGGCTTGTTAAACCAGCTCTTTCTGAAGGCAGCAGGGGCTTTGCTTTGAAGCCTGGCCTGTTTTGGGGCCAAAACAAACTGGCCTTGTTCTGAGATTAGACTGATTCGGTTTAAACTATCCATCCCAGAACAGCATGGACATTTAGAAAGCAAAATCGTCACACTTCATTATGGATTGGATGTGGAAAAGGTGTGACCAGGTGTTAGGTTAGTCAGTTAATGCTTGTGCTGATTTTGAGATCTAACCAGGTCTTTGTTGGCCTTGAGCAGGTGATGGATTGGCTAGGTGAGTGATAAGATCAAATTTGGTTTTGAAGAGAAGTGGTCCAGACTAGAAAATTTAAATAGTACATTATCTACATCTAGACCATAGAGAAAGCCACTATACATTTGAAGAACTCTCTTAACTTAGTTTGTTCTGACTTCTTATTTTAATAACTGAATATTTAAATTGTCCAGTTGTGGTGGAAAAATACTGCCTCTTAGCGCTCAAGGTGTCTTTCTCCTTCCCTGGAAGTTTGGTTTTGTTTTTGAGACAGGGTTTCACTGTATAGCGCTGGCTGGCCTGGAACTTGCTGTGTTGATCAGGCTGGTTGAACTCAGAGATGTGACTGCCTCTACTTCCCAAGTGCTGGGAATAAAGGTGTGGTTATTATGCTCAGTCCTGCTTACATCAGTTATTCACATTAGAGAATATATGACAGTATAGGTTGCCCTTCTTTTGTTTGCTTTCTGAAGTTGATTTCGAATCCTGATCTTGATGCATGTTAGGCAAACTCTGCTGTTGTAAATAAAATAATGAGTGTTGGGCTATATAATGTTTATTATTAGCTGTAAGATTATCACGGTGGTATTATCTAACCCGCTGTTACAAATAAGACACAGACACATGTTAGATTTTATAATTGCCTTGTTTACCTTAAACAAGGTATACTGTCTCAATATGCTCACCATCCATTGCTATCCACCTTAATCCTCATCTGGTCTACCTTCCATCCATAATCCCTTGGTATTTGTTTGTATTTTTCATCTGAGCCTTTTCACGCCATTATTGGAGTCTTTCTCCCAGGCATGTGGTTTCTTCTCCATGCTAACCCATCATGGCATCCTCTTTCCTCCTCTCTTTCCATCTCTCTCTCCTGAACCTAAAAGCCCAGGAACCTCAGCCACACCTACCCCATTCTGCCCTGCCCAGGTTTAGGCTGTTTAATCAATCAAGTATAATGACTTAGGCAAGTTTACACAACAAGGATAGGTATAACCAGATCTTGAGTAACATGTGTCAGACCAACCTCCAAAACTCTGCCTCATAAGCCCTGCTCTCCCAGATCCCCCTCCGCACAACAGTGTCTCACTAGGTAGTCCTTGCTCTGTAGACCATGCTGGCCTGGTCTGCCTGCCTCTGCCTCCTGAGTGCTGAGATTAAAGGCATGTGCCACCACTGGCTGGCTGTCTATTTTCCTTTTTTAAACAGGTAAGTTTATATAAATAAAATATGGAAAAGTAAACTGTTATACTCAGATGAGTTTCATCAGATGAGTTTTAAAAAGTAGTCTTGTAAATACCACTGTTCTTGAGACATACAGCATTGCTGTTATGTACAAAAGTTTCTGAGTGCTGTTTTAATCATTGCCTTCTCCAGTTCTTGACCTTGCAGTAAGCACCTGTAGTTGGTGGGTGGGCCTTTTCAAAATTACAGTGTGTAGACTTTTAAAATTTGATTTCTTTCCTTCTGAAATTAGCCCATGTTGCATGTTATCAACTCTTTAATTTTTATTGTTGAATAATATTCTTTCAAGTTTTTGAGTAAACATGATAAAATAAAATAATTTTATTTTAAAATAAAAAATAAAATGATTTTATTTCTGTTGAGTAAATACCTAGGAATAGATTAGCTGAATTATGTACTTTACCAGAATATGCTGGTATTATTTTCTGAAGTACCTGTTCCATTTTGCCTTAAGGAATACTGTAGCTAGGCTTGGAAATATTTGTTCAGCTTTTTTAAAAATTATCACAGTATAGTACCATATATTTGTCATATAGTACCAAATATATTGATTTAACAATGAGAACTTAGGACATAGCACAAGTGTCAGTAACTATCTTGGTACTAGGAGATAAGAGTGATTAGACGAGACCTACAAGGAGGTTAATGTGGGGAGAAGGAACATAGAAGGGACAAGTTTCGTTTTCCACTGTGGTGAGGATATTGTTAAATATGCTGTGAGTAAACAGTAGTCTAAGTATTAATGTGCTGACTCAGTTAATGACCAAAATCCTTTCCTTTAAAATTGTTTCAGGGAGCAGAATCTTGGCATTGTCTTCCTCAAGAAAGGGACTCTTCCAAAACCGTGGATACATATCAGACCGGGACTAGTAGAAGAGAGGGAACGGAAGAAATACAATTCTCTCTGGAGGAAGGTGAATTGGCTCAGTCACAGCATCCAGTAAAGGAACTCTTTTGTTCTCCATTGCAAAGTATGTTTTTTTTTTAACATTTTATTTTATTTCATGTGTATGGGTGTTTACCCTACCTGTATGTCTGCGCACCATGTTTGTGCCTAGGGCCCGTGGAGTCTGGAAGAGGATGTCTGATTTCCTGGAACTGGAATTATGGATGCTGGGAATCAAATCTAGATTCTCTTGAAGGGCAGCCAGTGCTCTTAACTGCCAAGCTGTCTCTCCAGACCCAATGCCTCTGTGTCTTTAACCAGAGGTAATAGCTTATATTTTTGTTTTATTTTTTTAGTTTTTTTAAAGACCAGGCTGCCTGCTTCTGCCTCTTGAGTGTTGGTGTGAAAGGCGTGTACCACCACTACCTGGCAATAGCTTATATTTCTAAAAACTGTGTGTATATGCGTGCTTGTTAGTTTGTTCCTAACAATCCGTGCTAGTTCAGGATTTCACGTGAGGATCTCTGTGGATCTATACTCAGAAGAATAAGTTGGTTCTGGTTTTCCACACTGCCTGGTTGGCTTAGCTATATTAAATATGCTACAGATCCTCATTTTAGCATGCCCCATTGCTAATAGAAGGCCGAAAGGTGATTGCTCGTGGGTATTTGTTGTTAGTCTTCCGTAGCACAGTTGCTCTTGGGAAAAGCACTTGTTATCTTTGGTTGGTGCTCTCTCATCAATGGAGTCTCAGTGTTTCCTCACAGATAAAATGTCTGTCTTTCTTAGTTTTTCTATTTCTGCCTCCTTTTCTGTGAAGAACTTGGCATAACTAGACAACAGTAGTACTATGGGATTAGTGTTACTATAGTCTTCAGAGCAGGAGTCAAAAACTGTAGCCCCTAGGCCTTAGCACCCTTTTGTACAAAATTTAAGAATGCTTATTTTTCTTCTCTCTCTCTTTTCTTTTCTCTCTTCTCTTCTCTTCTCTTCTCTTCTCTTCTCTTCTCTTCTCTTCTCTTCTCTTCTCTTCTCTTCTCTTCTCTTCTCTTTTCTTTCTTTTAGTTGTTCTCAGAAAATGTCTTGTGGTATATCCCATCCTGCTGAGAACTCTAGATCTCCCTAGTTCAACCTCCCGAGTGCTGGGATATATGTGTGTACCAAGCCTGGAAACATTTTTGTTTTTTACTTTTATTGTGGTGCCCTGGATTTAACCCAGGGCTTTGCACATGCTTGGCAAATACTTTACTACTAAGTTAAAGTCTCTGCTATATGAATTTTTAAAAGATTGTGAAAGCAAAATATATGTGACAGTTCATATGTTATCAAGAGGCCTAAAATATTTATGCTCTACCCTTGACCAAATATATTTGCTTACTTGTAGTTTAGAAGTTAAAATGAAGACATGTGAAATATAAGATGCTACATTTAACTTAATGTAAGATCTTCCTTAAAAAGGTAATATACTAGCAACAGAAAATAAGTCTGTTATAGCAAAACGTCAAGGGAAATTCTATGATAGAAAGATTTCAGCATTTAGTGAGAGACTATATAATGTAGTTTCTAGTATCCTAATGTATTGTACAGCTGCAGTTTTCCCTTTTACAGTAGATAAAGTAGGACATTTAAAGCTACTGGTTCTTGCATCTTATGGCCAGTGGATATGCCATTTCTACTCTTCTGTCCTGCATGGATGCTGTCATCACGGTATTAGGTTATCACCAATGGCAGATGTCATTGATATGACCAGTGACAGAGGGATCCGTGCTGGCAACATATATCCTAAAGTGAGGAAACAGTTGAGAGCAGTATAAGGCATTGCTGGTTAGCTGTACAGCCTTCCTTTCAACTACACACATATATATGACATGCTTGAAAATTAATTATTTGGGCTTGAGAGATGGCTCAGAGGTTAAGGTTAAGAGCACTGGCTGCTCTTCCAGATGTCCTGAGTTCAATTCCCATCTATAATGAGATCTAGCGCCCTCTTCTGGCAAGCAAGTATACATGCAGACAGAACATTGTATACAAACTAAATATTTTTTAAAAAAGACAAGTAACTGTTTAATTCTGGCTTGCTCCTTTAGAAATTGTATTTTTTTAAAAGATTTATTTATTTATTATTTATACAGTATTCTGCCCGCACACCAGAAGAGGGCACCAGATTTCATTATAGATGGTTGTGAGCCACCATGTGGTTGCTGGGAATTGAACTCAGGACCTTTGGAAGAACAGAAAGTGCTCTTAACCTCTGAGCCATCTCTCCAGCCCCTAGAAATTGTATTTTCTACTTACCTGATTTATCTCTCAAACTCCACTCACATATCTTTAAATATTTAAAGAGATAATCAAATGGTGCTTCTAACTAATTACTTATGATTTCTTGATTACATATATATTTATGATAATAAAGATTTCTGATCTTTTCTAGCTCCTACCATTTGCCTGAAAATTTCATGATTTCCTTGTTTTTAATTGTTGAGCAGTTTTCCATACTAACTCATATGTACCACACTTTCTGTATCCATTCCTCAAGTGAGGGACATCTGGGTTGTTCCCGGCCTCGGCTATTACAAACAAAGCTGCTATGAACATGATTGAGCAAATGTCCTTGTTGTATACTTGAGCATCTTCTGGATATATGCCTAGGAGTGGTATAGCTGGATCTTGAGGAAGCACTATTCTTATTTGTCTGAGAAAGTGCCAGATTGATTTCCAAAGTGGCTGTACAAGTTTACATTCCCACCAGCAATGGAGTAGGGTTCCTCTTTCTCCACATCCTCTCCAGCATGTGTTTTCACTTGAGTTTTTGGTCTTCGCCATTCTGATGGGTGTAAGGTAAAAATCTCAGGGTCGTTCTGATTTCCATTTCCCTGATGACTAAGGATGTTGAGCATTTCTCTAGGTGTTTCTCTGCCATTCAGTGTACCTCTATTGAGAATTCTCTGTTTAGCGCTGCACCTCATTTTTAAAAATTTTTTATTTTTATTAATTATAGTTTATTCACTTTGTATCCCAGCTGTAGTTCCCTCCCCAATCTCCTTCCAATTCCACCCTCCCTCCCTCTTTTTTTCCTATGCCCCTCCCCCAGTCCAATTATAGGGGAGGTCCATGGGCTACTCTGTACCCCATTTTTTAATTGGGTTATTTGATTTGTTGTTCTTTAACTTCTTAAGTTCTTTATACATTCTGGATATTAGCCCTCTGTCAGATATAGGGTTGGTGAAGATCCTTTCCCAACCTGTAGGCTGTTGTTTTATTCTGAGGACAGTGTCCTTTGCTTTAAGGTATCAAAACATACACTGAGACTTTTAGCCAAAGTTTGGGCAGAGTGCATGGAATCTTATGAAAGAAGGGGGAGCTAAGACCTGGAAGGGACAGGAGCTCCACAAGGACAGCAACAGAACCAAAAAATCTGGGAACAGGGGTCTTTTGTGAGACTGATACTCCAAACAAGGATCATGCATGGAGATAACCTAGAACCCCTGCACAAATGTAGCTCATGGCAGGCTATTTGATCACCCCCCCTGAGGGGCGGGGGGAAGCAGCCTTACCAGTCCACAGAGGAAGACAATGAAGCCAATCCTGAAGAGATCTGATAGACTAGCATCAGAAGGAAGGTGAGGAGGACCTCTCCCCTAATAATTGGACTAGGGGAGGGGCATAGGAGAAGATTCGGGAGGGAGGTAGGGTAGGATTGAAAGGGGGAGCGGGGGAGGGGCCTACATCTGGGATACAAAGTGAATAAACTGTAATTAATAAAAATAAAAAAAATTTCTGTAAGTTCTGGAACTTGGTCAGGGATAACTACTTTTTAATTTTATTGTTTTTTTCATATTATTTTATGCGTATGTATGTTTTGTTTGCATGTATGTTTGTGTACCACCCAAGTGACCAGTGCTGGAGAAGGCCAGAACAGCGTGTCAGATCCCTTGGGACTGGAGTTTCAGATGATTATAAGTCACCAATTGGGTGCTGGTAATCAAACTTAGGTCCTCTGGAAAAGCAGCAGCCAGTGCTCTATTTTTTGTTTTGTTTTGGTTTGTTTTGGTTTGGTTTGGTTTGGTTTGGTTTGGTTTGGTTTGGTTTGGTTTGGTTTTCAAGACAGAGTTTCTCTGTGTAGCCCTGGCCATCTTGGAACTCTTATGTAGACCATGCTGGTCTTGATCTCAGAAATCTGCTTCTGCCTTCCGAGTGCTAGGATTTAAGGCATGAGCCACTACTGCCTGGCTACAGCCAGTGCTCTTAACCATTGCGCCATCTCTCCAGTACCTATAGCTAACTTTTAAAAAAGACCAACAGATCATTGAAATGACGAGTGTTCCATGAAAATAATTTCTGCCCAGTTTCTAGGATGCTCTTGATTTTTCCAGGGATGAAGACCATATGTTTTAAAGGTTTAAAAATGATTTTCTAATGCAGTGGCAAAGATGAACCATATTAAATATTCTCTGACTTAAAAGGCTTTTCTTTGTGTGTGGGTGTTTCAAATGTATACTGTGTGTGTGCATGCTAGACGACAACATCTGGGTTTGTTCCTCAGGAGACATTCATTCACTTACTTGTCTGAAACTCAGTGATTTGACTCACTGGTTGGCTAGCAAACCCCAAAGATCTGCCTGGTTTTATCTTTTCAGTACTGGGATGCAAATGTGCAATATCATGCCTGACTTTTTTACATCAATTTGTAGAATTGAACTCAGGTTTTCATGTTTGAGCAGAAAGCACTTTACTAACTAAAACTGTATTATATATACTATCTTTTTTTTTTTTTTTCAAGATAGGGTATTTCTGTGTAGTCCTGGCTGGCCTGGATTCGCTTTGTAGACCAAGCTGGCCTAGAACTCTCAGAGATCCACCCTCCTCTGCCTTCCTGAGTTCTGGGATTATAGGCGTGTGCCAATGCACCTGGCTTCCGTATCTTATTTTTAACCAATTCAGTAAAAGGTTTTAATTTGAATACCTACTAAGAGTAACTGATACTTTGCTTGTCACTGAGGATACAGCTGTGATATAGCAGCTTTGTGGAGTTTGAACCAAGCAAGTGTGTCAAATCCAGAGCAGTGAGAGCATTAGGGTACTAAGTGAGGGACCATAGCACCACTGTGAGCAACAGTACTGTGAATAAGAATACCACTGTGAGCAAACATTCTTTGAGGGCACCCCAGGGAGAAGGCTGGTGCCAGGGTAGTAGTTGAAATCAAGAAAGTGTGCCGTAGCAATCATTAATTTCATGTTGAAAAGCAGTTTTCTTTTACCAACACATCACTAAAATCAATTTTAGTAGGTTAATGTTTCAGAAATAAAGTTCTATTTCTATGAATATCTAATTTTTGGTTTATAATTTTGTGTTATAGGGAATACAGATTTTATGCTAGTTTATACATATTTAAAGACATAAGAATGACTTAAGTTTGGCATCGTGGCACATACCTTTAGTCCTAGCACTTGGGAGGGAGAGGCAGATGCAGAGGAAGGCAGATCTCTATGTTTGAGAACACCCTGATTTACATAGAGAATTCTAGGACAGGCAGGAGTACACAGAGAAACCCTGTCTTGAACAAAACAACTCCCCCAGTGCCACCTCCCCCGACTGATTCGGTAATCGGCAACAAATAAAGAATTACTTAGGTAGGAAACCATAATGGTTTTTTTTCTTTAAAGCTATTTTACAAACTCTTTAGGTAACATACCTATTTTATACATTTTAGAAACAGAAATCCAAAGAGCATTTGTGTTTGTGATATCTTTTCATACTAGAGCTAAAACAGAAAACTTAAATGTTTGTTTAAAACTGCCTACCTATTACTTATATATTAATATCATACATAGTTTTATAGACAACCATTTTGTAAGACAAAAATATTTTTTTTAAAAGGAAGGCCTTGTTTCAATAATATATTGAAAATAATTTTGGTCCTTATCACATCCTAAGAGTAGGGCCTAAAGCCCTACTAGATTACACTTTGGTATAATGGCTTTAGTTTTTATATTACTTAAGATTGAGGAGCTAACAAGATGACTCAGCAGGCAGAGGCACCTGCGGCCAAACCCGATGACTAAGTTTGATTCTTCTCACATAGTGAAAGGAGAGAAATGATTACTGCAGGTTGTCTCCTGACTGTCATTTGAGCACCAATGCACACACACACCTTTCTACCCACCTAACTACTCACACAAAATAAAAATGTAATAGAAAAAAGACATGCTTTAATTGTTAACGAACACCTGAACTGTGTAGTAATTTGCAAAGAAGTTAGAATGTGGCACTTAAGTAAGAAATTATTTAATAATAAGTTTTAAAATCATGTTTCCTTACCTGTAAGGTAGCTCTGGTAAGAGGTACTTATTCTTCAGTGTTGTCACGGATTAAATGAAATGCTGTATGTTAAATGCTTGGGCTTTTCATGTTCCATAGATGGTTGCTGCTGCTGCTGTTATATTGCTATTGTAATGATGTAGAATTTTTTAGATGGTAGTATGTTTATGTGCATGAGTAAGCCAAACACTGTACTTTTCGATTGCTCACCTTTTTCCATTTGAAACTCTGCAGTGATACAGGATAATTTTGCAGCCCCTGATTTGCCTTTGCTGACATGTTTGACACAAGACAAGGAGTTGGAGCCTGATTCCTTGTTTCAACAAAATGAACTAGAATTTACACCTTTGAGGTATTGTGATTCATTTATCTGCCTTCTAAACTTCTGTTCTTTATTATAAGTTGTTATTAATGGCTTCAGGCTAAAGTGGATTGGTAGTAGGGGTTAGGTGTTCTTAGCACATTCTTATGCATTAAATTGGTGTGGTATTTTACATTTAGAAACTTACCACTTAACTATAGTTCATTTAGAAATAATGTATGGTTTTCTGTAGACTTTTAGGCATACTTTTTTTTTTTTTATTTGGTTTTTTGAGTCAGGGTTTCTCTGTGTAGCCTGGGCTGTCCTGAACCATGCTGGCCTCACAGGAGATTCACCTGCCTCTGCCTCCCTGAGTGCTGGAATCAAAGGCATGCACCACCACACCTAGTCTAGGCATTTTTTTTTCATTATCAGCACCCTGAGTCATTTCTAGGATATTAATTTGTCTGCACTTTCAGTTTGCTTAGCTGTTATTGAATCAGTCTAGTTAGCTTTCTTTATATTACATACAGATATCAAGTAAGATTTTTATATTTCAAATTGATGTCTTTTATAATAATCAAAATGGAAAGACATTCTATAATTCTTCAAAAACATATTGGAATTGTCCAAGGCTTTGTTTTCTGTTAAAACCAAAAGAAAACTCTACCTTAAACTCAAAATTCTAGATGTTTAGAAATAAACTTGTATACTCCCCTGCCATTATGCTGTGTATTACTTTAGAATCACAGTTGCAAGGTTCTCTGTTCTCATTAGATTGTCAAAGTGATTAAGCTATGTTGTATTTTGGGAATAGATCATAAGCACAATAACTGGTCAGTAAACAGGAATATAAGGTAGACGAGTATTAATTCATAGTAGGTAGCATGCTTTTAAAATAGTAAACCTTATTAAAAGGCTATTTCAAACTTTTAAACTTTTTGTAATGTTGAAATTGATTCTGTTTTAGGAGAACGCTGAGACAATATCAGGGTGGTTGTTCATTTACTGGTTGCAAAGTTTTTGTTTAATCTTTAGGTAAAGATTGAAGATTAGAACTTTTAAAAATATACTTTCACGTAAACCTGATTTTAGCGATACCAGTTTGTGTGTGTGTGTGTGTGTGTGTGTTAGTATTTTTAATTTTTTCTTTGTAACTTTGTATTTTCAGAGGTATTTCTGATAAGTCTGAAGATACTGAATGGCTTTCTCGACCATCAGAAGTTAGTGAAGCTTTAATCCAGGCCACCTCAGAAACATCTTCAGACTTATTTAACAGTTGCCTTAGTATATCTCAACATCCACTCACAGGTAGCACAACTTTTGGGTCTCAGCGCTCTCTTTTTCTATCTGAACAAGAGAATAATGGAGGGATTGTGCCACCTAATGCTCGTGATGAACTGAAAAGCCTGAATGACTCTGATCATTATGATGCCCTGTATTCATATATGTCATGGCAGACAGAAAAGGACACTCAGCAGCCAGAAGGCAACTTGGCTGAAAAAGACCTGGTTTCCATTTCAGCTTTGTCTGATGTTAGTGATGAAAGCATAGCTGCTAAAAGAAAGGACAGTTTTGATGCTTCTTGTTCTTGTGTTCAGTATTGGGGACTGGAAGCCTTACAACATACTGAAACATGTCTAGTCAGTGAAGATCATGCTTCCTTCCCATTTGAAATTACTCCTCCTCCTAATAAAATGTCATACTCTTTCCTGCGATCCGTGTTGGAAAGAAGAAAAGCTTCCTTGACCTCTGTTCACCACCTTGAGAATGTTTGTTTAAGGGCTTCTGCTAAGGATGAAATGAGTCAAAAGAATGATGTTTTGGAGGGTTATGAAAGAAATGGAGATATGCAGAAAGAATTATCACAATTTTTTAAGCAAAAGGAGTCTAGAAATAGTTTGCCATTTTCTCAGGTGCATGTCAAATCTCCAGAGATAAAGTATACTGGGATGGTCACCATCCGTGATAGTCATGAACAAGTTTCAGAAGCAAATATACTCTCTAGAAGACTTCATACCTCTGAGCTGGAGGGTTCTAGTGGTCCTCTTCAGACAGTTAAATCCAACTTGGATGATACATCAGAACAACGGTATTTTCAAGAGGAAAGAAACGAAAATGCAGCTTCTACTTTTGGTGAGAAAAATGTTGGTGCTACTGAAAATGTAGCCTTTGAGGCAGTTATTGCCTCAATTGAGCCTTCTAAGCAAGAGAGTCCTATAAATGAAATCCAAACTGACAACAATAAACCATTAGCAGATGACAGCCAAGAGAGAGAATCCCCAAAACCAGATCTTTCCCAATTAAATTGTAATGATGAAAACTCTTTCATTGATAAGCTTAAGCGTCCAAAATTCCAGTCTACTCCTGGGGTGTTTGAATCAGCAGCTTCAAAACTATTCTTGGATAAAGAAGATGATACTAGCTCCCTATATGGGCATCCAAATTTATCACCACCTAATGCTCTTCAGGACATGCTCAGTAAACCGATTTCTGTCATTCCAGAGCTTAAGTTATCTACTTTAAATGAAAAAGCTTACAGCCAGGCTGTTGGTCTTGAGCAAACACAATCAGCTTTATTTCAGTGTTCGCTAAACAATCTAAACCTTACAGAGAAGGTAGGACCTTCAAAAATTATTTTTGCAATGAAACTGTCAACTTCAGATTCTTGGGTTTTACAAGATTTAAAGCTGCAGACCTTTGAAGAAGTTGCAGATTCCTCAGACTTTAATTTGGGTAAGGATGTAAACTGTAGTAACTCCTTTGAGGGTCTCATTTGCTGCTGCATGTTGCAGCTTTTTAGTACCCTTGGCAACATGTGATGCAAGTCGCACTTTGCTTTAACACTGATTGGTGATGTGTCACTGATTAGAGTCAGCCAAGAGGTATTTCTGGAAGCTGATGAAGGCCAAGGTGAAATTCCTTCACCTGTGGGGGCTGAGTCTAGTCACTATATACACAATTATGCAACATGAGTTTATTATTATTATTTTTTTAATAGAGAGCCTGCAGGGGAAGGCTGAATCTGCTGTTTTTACTCTGTGTGGTGATGCTGAGTATTCCAGCCTGTATGGAAATCCTGGTGTATACAATGAAAGAATTGCTGAATTACAAAGAGAGGTGAGATATAATGAAGTGATAATTGTATAAATAAGTTCCTTTCCAGTACTGATTTAGGAAATGGTGTTTGTTTTTTACTTTTTACTATTTCCCAGACATGGGGCCTACAAGGCTTAACTGGTGAGTACTTGGAGCTTGCAGATTTAGTGAATTTGCTTGATGATCTTTGTGACAGCACCTTGTTTTGGCTGCCTACTTCATAACTGTCATCTGAGGAGAGCCATTTTGAAAAGCCTGTAAGTTACTTGGCATTTTCCATGGATAGGTAAAAGAATATTTTAGTTGAAAAGAATATGGTAATGAAAATTAAGGGCTCATTTATCTTTTGATACCAATTCTGACTCAGTGTGGTCTTCATCTCATACCCAGGAATATGATCTCTATCAAGTGTTGACGGAAAGATTGTTTCATAGCCCATAACACTTCACGAGTTCTTTGGTGTCTTAGAAAAGGACACATCTTGGAGGTCTATTTATTTTTATTTTTATTTTTTTATTCTTTGAGACAAGGTCTCTATGCAGTCCTGGCTGTCCTTGAGTTTGCTGTGTAGACCAGGCTGGCCTTGAACTCAGAGACAGCTCTTGCCTCTGCCTCCTGAGTGCTAGGAGTGAAGGCATCCACTATCACCATTTTGTTTGTTTGTTTTTTTTTTTTTTTTTTTTTTTTGAGGTCAGGTTTCTCTGTGTAGCCTTGACTTGGCTCTCCTGGTATGTACACGCCTATGCTGCTCATTTGAGGAGGCTGTTGGACCCCTTCAGAAGACTTCCTATTTTGGATTCTAAGTACTGCAGTATCTTTCCCAGGGAAACAACGATGCTTGACATTTTCTTAAATACTTGAAGTCAAAGTTTTCAAGAACTTCTAAACAGAAATACTTGAGTATCTCAAGGCTGGTACACTGACAACCAGAGAAATCACTATTGAATTGCTCAATGAATGTGTCTTGTTTTCTTGTGTTCCAAAGACTCTTGCTAGCCTAACATGAAAAGAATACCTCAAGTTAGGAACCTAGAGGGCCAAGCTGGGCATGGTGGCATACTCCTGTAATTCAGCACTCAGGGAGGCAGAGGCAAGAGGATCGCTGAGTTCCAGGCCAGCCTGGTCTGCAAAGTACAGGACGGCCAAGGCTATACAGTGAAGCCCTGTCTCAGAAAAAAAAAAGAAAGAAAGAAAGAAGAAGAAAAAAGAAAATTTCTTGGGTTTAATTTTGTTTTCTTCAGTATTCTAAGGTAGTCACTGTTTGAATTTTCAATCTTTTGAGAGTGGGGATTGAAATAATGGCTGATACTCTGCCCAAGTTCAGTGCTAAGAGGTTCACAGGTATACAGCAATTGGCTTGGTCCATTCAGTCAAATTAGATTAGTGTGAATTATTTTCATCCACATTTTACAATGAATACTTCTGGGATTATGATTCTCAACAATACCAATAAGAAAGTAACCTTATAGTCTTAAATACTGTATCTTGAACTAACTGCCTTATACCTGTTAACACTCCTCCTCAAGAGGTCTAGTTTTCTCCAGATTGCTTTTAATTAGGCTTTTAGATGATAGATGATAAATGTTTTCTGAGTTAGGCCCCTAATCTTATCTTATTTTATTTATTTAGAGACAGGATCTCTTTGTGTAGCCTTGGCTGTCCTGAACTTGCTTTGTAGACCAGGCTGGCCCTGCACTCACAGAGATCCACTTGCCTCCTGAGTGCTGGGATTAAATGTGTGCATCACTACTGTCCAGCATGATTTTAAAATGAGCATTGTACTCACCTCAAATTCTACTTGTTGGTATTAAAATAGCTTATACTTTCCCGTATATCAGACTGATCCTATAGACTCTGCTTTTCTATGGAAATGTTATCATTTCTCTAGTTTCTTACTGATGATTTTTTTTTTTTTGTTGTTGTTGTTGTTAATTAAAAAATGGGAATTTCCAGAGGGTCTTGGGTTCTTTTTCCACTGGTATCAGGTCACTTACAACCACTTCTAAGCAGAGTTCCAGAGATCCAACACCATCTTCTGGCCACTGAGAGCACATGCATTCATGGAACGAACAATATACATACATACATGTATAAATTCATTTTTAAAAATAATAATTAAGGGGCTGCAGACCTAGCTTAGTGGTGGGGCATTTGCTTAGCATGCCCAAGGCCCTCAAGTTAGGAACCTGGGTTTATTATCCAGCATCACATGCAGACTTAACAATAGGAACTAAATTTTAAGATTTTCCTCTCATTTTTAGATAGTTCCTCAGATCTGTTCTCATTCTTTCCATTCTATTTTATTGTCTCTTCACTTGGCTATAGCCAACAGGCCATGAAGTTATCTGTATTTTTTCCTTTATTTGGAAAAAGTAGGAGAAAACTAATTCACTCTTGTGTATCTACCTATATCTTCCTCCCTTCTTCCTACTCTGCCTTCCCCCCACAATTTGTACATAAAAGAAAAGATCTTTAAGGAGTGGGATTCTTGCCTTAAAATGTTTGGGTTTCTCACCATTTATATTTTGGACTGTATATTCTTTGATCTAGAGAACCACTCAGTATTTTAGCCTGTTTTTTAGCATGTTTGGCCACTACTCATTAGGTACTACCAACTCTTATCTACCCTCTGTTCTCACCAGTTATGACAGTGAAAAATGTTTCTTGACATTGCTTGATTTCTCTTCGTAATGGACAGGATTTTCCCAAGTGAGAGTGTTTAGACTTAGAAGAGCCTTTAGGGAAACAGTGGTAGAATATTAATTCCCGCACCTGGCTGCCAACTTCTTAAGAATTGAAAGCTCAACAAACAAAAAATAAACGTAATGTATGCCTGTAATCCCTGTACATGAGAGGTGGAGACAGGAGCCACAGTCAGGAATTCACAGCCAGCCTCAGCCATATAGGGTGGAGTTTGATGTCAACCTGGGCGACATGAGATCCTGTCTCCAAATAGACAAGCAGACAAAATAAAACTAAATAATATTATGCTTATGTGCATTTTTGGATTCTGTCCTGAGAGGGCACGACTAGACTAATCTTATATAAACTTAATAGTGCTGTGTGTTTTTTCCTAAGTATCCTATGAATTTAGTGGAGATTTGTATGCATTTATGCTTTAATGTCACCAGTTACTGATATGTGATACCCTGTAAAGCAGCATTTTAAACCACAGAACCACTGCTGTTGTCTTCACCAAACAAAATATGATCTCTATATTAATTCAGATGGCTTGAGAATATGAATCTCACTCTGTCATTGTTTTTTGTTTGTTTGTTTTGTTTTGTTTTATTTTGTTGGTTTTTCAAGACAGGGTATCTCTGTGTAGCCTTTGGCTGCCCTGGACTTACTCTGTAGACCAGGCTGGCCTTGACCTCATAGAGATCGACCTGCCTTTGCCTCTCGAGTACTGAGATGAGTCTCACTCTGTCTTTCTTTGCAATGTTAGAGAATGTCTGTGAGCCACATGCATGCAGAATAGAAGAGGGTATTGGGTCCTCAAGGACGGGAGTTAGTTGTGAGCTGCCATGTGGTTGCTAGGAATTAAACTCAGGAAGAGCAGCCAGCACTCTTAACTGCTGCAATATTTCTTCAGCCCCAACTTGTTCTTAGCAAAGACCCTGGTTCTATTTTCAGTATCTACCTTGGGCTCATAACCATTTGTAACTGTAGTTCCAGTGGATCTAACAACTTCCTCTGACCTATGTACCAGGTGGACATAAATACACACAGGCAAAACACTCATACATGTAAATGAAATTAAGTAAAAAAATTAAAATAAAAACTATTTTTTTTTTTTAGACAACTAAGTGTCAAATGAATAGAATCTTTTTTTTTTTTTTTTTCATTTCTCATTTCATAGGTAGACCGTTCTAACCTGGCCATTAGCGAGCCTTTTCCATCTACATTGCCTTCATTTGTGTCTCAAGAGCCATCCAGTGAGTCAGAATGTCATTCTTCCAATCTCAGAATGTTGAGGGTATCTCCTGACACTCTGCCAGCAACTCTTACACGTTCAACAGGTATGTAGAAAATGTAGGCATTAAATGTCCTCTGTAGCTTATGAATATTATCTTGCTATGCCTTCCTAACAGTTTGGATGGATTAATGGATGCCCAGATATCTTATTCTGTGTTTTTATTACTTTGATAACACCGTGGCCGGCCAAAATCTGGGCGAGGAAAGGCCTTTGTTTATCTCATCTTACAACTCTCTGGCCATACTCCATAACTGAGGGAAGTCAAGGCAGGAACTGAAGCAGCAGTCTTGAAGGAGTGGTGCTTATTGCTTTGCTCTTCCCGGCTTGCTCAGTTTGTTTTCTTATATATCCCAGGGTCAGTTGCTCAGGCCTAGCACCATCCACAATGGGTTGTGCCCTCCCTTCCTACGTCAATCATTAATCAAGAAAATGTCCCACAGCTTACCTAAATAAATAAATGTAGCTTGTGTTAAATTGACAAAAAATTAACCAACACACCAGATAACTGGTAAAGTAATATTTCTACACATACTGTAAGGGTATCTGAGGAAGAGGTGTGAATAAGTGGACCAAATAAAGCTGACTAGACAGATCTTTTCAGTAATCCAGTTGTCTTTGTCTCTTCGGTACATGTGAACCTGGGCCTGGAAGGTTTCAAAGCCCACCCCAACTGACACACGAATTTCTCTACTCCTTCCACACCTTCTAATCCTTCCAATCCTATCAAAGTGTTCCACTACCTGTTGATTAGGCATGCAAATATATGAGCTTATGGGGGCCATTCTTATTCAAACTACTACAACTAGTATTTGTGTGTACACACACTAAATTTAAATATTAAAACAAATATTTTAAAAAGATCTGATAGGCTGGATGGTGATTGTGCACACCTTTATTCCCAGCACTTGGTAGGCAGATGCAGGTAGATCTTTATGAGTTCAAAGCCACCTGGCCTACAGACCAAGTTCCAGTTCCTGTATTGCCAATGCTATACAGAGAAACCCTGTGTTGAAAAACAAAAAAACGAAACAAAAAGTCCAGTAAAATTCAGCAATGACAGTATCTGAGCCTGGACATTTTTGATCTCTCTCTGTCTCTGTCTCTCGTTATTTTAAAGATTTATTTATTTTATGTATATGAGTGGTCTATCTCCATGTACACCTGCATGCTGGAAGAGGGCATCCGACCTTATTATAGGTTGTGAACTACCATGAGGTGGCTGGGAATTGAACTCAGGACCTTTGGAAGAACAGCCAGTACTCCTAACCATCTCTTCAGCCCAGGCCTGGACATTTTTAGTTGATTTTTTTTTTTTTTAAATACTTTAGACTCATTCCTTGTTGTAGATCTGTTTAAGTTATTTATGTCTTCATTTAATTTTTGTAGTTTGCATGTGTAGTGGTTTGAAAGAAAATGACCCCTCATAGACTCATTTTTTTTGAATTCTTGGTCCCCAGTTGTTAAAACTGTTTGGGAAGGATTAGGTGTGTCTTCGTTGGATGTGATATGTTACTTTGAGTGGGCTCTTAGGTTTGAAAAGTCCACACTGTTTCCAGTGATCTCTCTCTTTGCTTGGTGGTTGTATCTCAAGATGTTAGGTCTTAGCTACTACTCTGGGGGCTATGCCTGCCTTGCCTGCTACCATGTTCTCTGACATGATAGTTGAGGATTCACGCTCTGAAACTGTAAGCTCCAGATTAAAATGTTTAATACAAAAAAGAAAATACTTTAATAGGTTACCTTGGTTCACGGTGTCCTTTATGGCAATAAAAAGTAGGAAAATATGTGCTTAGAAATTTATGCATTTTTTTTTTTTAGATTTTTCAGTTTACAGGTTTACAGTTTACAGTTTACAGATTTTTCCAGAATACAGGTTTTCATATTAGTATGTTTTAGTGATCCTCTGAATTTTATTATTATCTGTTGCAACATCTCCCCTTTTCATCTTTAATTTTATTAATTTAGGTATTCTTTCTTTTGGGTAGTTTGACGAAGGATTTGCCAACCTTCTTTATTTTGTCAAAGAACCACCTCTTTGTTTCACTGCCTCTTCTGTTCTTCATGTTTCCATTTCAATAATTTCTGTTCTGATCCTTATGCCTCGTTTTTATTTGTGTTTCATGTTTTTTTATTTGAAAGCTCTGACTTTTTAGATGTAGGTATGTGTAGGTATAAGGTTCCTTCTTAGAATGGCTTCATTGTATCTCACAGGTTTTTGTTTTTGCTTTCATTTAATTCTAGGACTTGTTTGTATTTTCTGTAGTTTTTTTTTTTTTTTTTTTTTTTTTTTTTGTTGGTTCCTAGCTTTTTTCCACTGTGGTCAGATAGAGTGTAAGAAATTATTTCAGTTTTCATGTATTTGCTACGACTTGTTTTGCTATAGTATGGTGTTTTTGAAAAAAAGTTTGAGGGACTACTAAGAAGTGTGTTTTGTGAAGTTTGGTGCATGTTCTGTTGAAGTCTTTTGATTTATAGTCCATTTAGCTTTTGCTTGGTTTTATTTATTTATTTACCTATTTATTTGTTTGTTTGTTTGTTTGTTTGTTTAGATGACCTGTCTATTGGTGAGTGAAGTGACCCACTATTACTGTGTTTAGTTATTGTGTCATAATTGTGATAATGAGGGGTGTAATTTTCTTTTTGTTTCCTTGTAGTCAAATTTGGGCTTTTCCTAGTTTTCATTTTAAAAAGTTACTCATCTAGCAGAGTTTATTTTTAGTCTATGACCTTATGATTGTGCTTATCTCTCTTCAGTGTCAGACGCCTTCAAGAATCTTCTGTACTGCTGACTTAGTAGTGGTCATTAGTCCCTTTACTTTATGTTTACCATAGAAAGTTTCTCCTTATTAAGGAAGGACAGGACAGTATTGCTGGTTAGAGTAATCTCAGTTGGCAGTTATCTTTCAGAACTTCACATACATTCCTCCATGTCATCCAGGCTGTTGGAATTTCTTCTGATAAATCTATTTCTGTGGTAGGTTTGCCTTTTGTGTGACTGGCACTTCTCTTGTGTAGCTTTTAACGTTCTTTCCTTAATTTGTATACTTAGTGATTTAACTACAATATATCAATCATGTCAAGGTTCCTTTCTGGCCTTGTCTATTTGGTTTTCTAAATGCCTCTTGTATTTGGATGACCGCTTCTTTTTCTAGATGGGGATTTTTTGTTTGTTTCATTGAATGCATATATATGTGTGTATGTGTGTGTGTGTGTGTGTATTTGACTATATGTTGTACTTTTTCTGTGCCCATGATTTGTTAATTTAGCCTTTCAATAGTCTTGTGTGCCCTACTCATACTTTCTTATTTTTATTGTCGTCTAAATGTGCTACTTTATTTACCAGTCTTCAAGCTGGGGTCCGTTCATTCACTTGATGTATATTTCCACAGTGTATGTGACTTTCAGAGCTTTTCATTTACAAATTTTCAATTTGACTTTTTCAGTATTTTTATCTTTTTATTGAGTTCATCTTTTATCTTATGACTTTCTTATTTCAGTTGGTTGGTTGGTTACTTGTATTCTCTTTGAATTCAGGAATTTGCTCAATGTTTTCTTCGATTTTGTTGGATATTCTCAAAACCTTTTTTGGGAATTCTTTGTTTTAGTCTTATCTGCTGTATTCTTATTGGAATTTATTACTGTGAAAATGGGAATTTTAGTGGAATCAGTCTCTTGGCTTTTCATGTTTCTTATATTCTGTATTGAAACTTGAATATGCAGAATTAGATAGGTTTCTTTTTTTTTTTTTTTTTTTAGGTGGGTTTCTTTAGTCACAGTATTTTTTCAGTTGAAGTATTTTTACTACTTATCATTAAATCACTGTAATAAGGATGAAGTGTAGTTTCTCCTCAGAGGACTCAGGATCCATTACTCTTGTAGGTTAACCTTTAGCACATATGCTGTGGGTCCTGGGCACGATCTTCAGCCCCTGCCAGCATAGACTACTGACTGTAGCGATCCTGATTGGTAACACTATTATGAAGATGCAGTAATAGCCAAGGAAATCCGTCAAACTCTTAACTCCAGTAAGTTTTGTAATGGAATAAGGACAGTAGAGTATACACTAAGATATTATTTACTAATATTAGGACTAGAAAGAAAAGCAGAGTAAGACCAGTGATTATTAGAACAGTAGAAAAAATAGAAAAGAAAGAAAGGCATAAAATAACAGAAGAGAGGAGAATAAGGCAGCTCCAATGAAAGGTAGACTGGGAAGACACGCACACCTCAAGAAATACACTCAGGCAATTTCTCAGCCCTCAAGAGGCTCAGTCAGGGAGATCAGTAGCTTCAACCAACATGTGGGAGAGCCTGTCTCTAAAATAGAAGAGAATAGAAAGGGTGAGAAACAAAAAGGGAGAGGTCAAAGCTGATCTAAAACATTAGGTATTAAGTAAGGGAAGCTTAAAAAAATGAGTGAAAGAATAAAAGAGAAATAAAAAAAATTGAATTAGGTATCCTGCTGTGGTGGCACATGCCTTTAATCCCTGCACTTGGGAGGCAGAGGCCGGTGGATTTCTGTGAGATCGAGGCCAGCCTGGTCTAGAAAGCAAGATCCAGGACAGCCAGGGATAAATACAGAGAAACCTGTCTTGAAAAACAAAACAAAAAAGGGAGGGAGATTGAGTGAAAATAGAAACAAATATTAACTAGAAAAAAATAACAATAGCAAAAACAAAAAATAAAGAGGACTGATTTCCCATCCCCCAGTTATGTCACTTGTCTGGGTAGAGGTACAGAATCTGTCTCAATGCTTTAAGCCACTTGGTGTGGGTTATAATATTTGTTCTCCATGGCATCACTTTCCTGGTCTCATTTAATCTGATTCTGAGAAGAAAGAAACATTTGCAGAGCTAGCCTGCTAAGATTTGATGTTCTGAGAGCAGTGTGTGAACCTTCCTCAACACCTCTTTAGCTTTTTGAAACCCCTGTTTATATAGCACATTTATACTCTGGAATCTGTTGTTGTTTCTAAAATTTTATTTTTATGTGTATGAGTGTTTTGTATGCATGTGTACCCTAGCCTGTACATACATGGTATTTTAAGAGGCTAAGAGGATGTTAGATCCCCTAGAACTGGAGTTACAGAATGTAGTGTGCTGCCATGTGACTGCTGGGAATTGAACCCAGACCCAGAGCTCTGCAAGAACTGCAACTGCTCTTAACTGCCGAGTCATCTCTCCAACCCTCAGAAAGGTATTAATCTATTTTTGTGTGTTAGTGTTAATAGTCATAACACCTGAGTTGGAACGATAGTGAGTAAGCAGCCCTTAGTCACCTGTAGAAAGGAAGTCTGGAATGGTGACTCATGTTGTCTGTGAGAATGAAGACTTGCTTTATTACTCAGACTGAAGACTGCTTCAGTTCATCATACACTGCTCTGTCTCCTAAAAGACCTCTATGTTAATAAGCATTTGCTTTATGGGAAGAGTTCTTGAGCAAATCCTGACTGACTCACATTACCTTTCATACGTTGTGGTCTGTTACGGCTTTCTTCTGGCAGTCTCCTTTCCTTTCTGTAATCAGAGCTTCAATCATCCCAGTTCTGAAAATTATCTTTGTGAACTCAGGAGTTAAGTAGTAATGTTTAATGTGTTTATTTTTTTCTCTCAGGGTTGAGAGAGTAAAAAGCACCCTACAAGTATACCATCTGTTATCATGAATTCTTTGCCCATGCAAACACTTCTAAATATAATTATTAGACTTATGACTATGGATGCTTCTGACGTTTTGAAGCACATGTCTGTAATTTTGCACAGAGCTGGGAAGATTTCTTCTTTAGCACTTAGTCTCTTCCTATTCTTTTAGCAGCATACTCTGAACCCCTCTTCAAGTTTCCTTTACTAATGTTTTCCTTTCTTCCCAGGCCTCATTATCTCATGGAAACCTCTATATCTAAGGTTTGGGCTGTGTCTTAACTCATTGGCTATTCATCTCATTTGCTTCCTTCATTGTGTTACTACTACTTGGAAATGATTGAAAGGGAGTAAAAAACTTAGATAAATTGGGAAATCCTTTATACCCAAATTTTCTTTTTAGGTTATAACCATACTGCATATTTTCTTTTGCTTTGAGTTTTCTTGAAGAGTTAATAATTTCTACTTCTATGTCTTTGCTTTACAACTTATTCCTAAACTTTCACCCAACATTAAGCTATCATTTGAAGCTCAACAGTGGCTTTAGAGAAGGGGATTCAGTTGCAATAGAGAGGGTCCATAAGTCAGAATTAGAATTGAAAGTTTAAAGTACTCAACAGCTCTAGACAGTGATATTGGGTCACTGTGAAGCATGTAGACGTACAGGATTTTAGGTTTTACCTCGAGACCTGCTGACTCAAGAGTGCACAAGCAGGAAACAGTCCTAGACTTAGAAGCACCATTATGTAGTTCTTTTGGAGAGAGAAAACTTCCCTTGTATGTAAAGAATAGATAATAGAAGGTATTTAATAACATTCTTGCCAACATTTGATAAACCATGTTTTTACCAGTTTATTTATTGTGACTTTTGCTGCCAGCATGTATAGTATGTCAAGTAGGAGTATCTGTCTCTTGCATTGTATTCTGTATTTGGAACAGTATGTGAACACATAGTAAACATATTTCTTTTTTTAATTTTTTATTTAACTTTTACTAATTATACTTTATTCACTTTGTATCCCCCCCATAAGCCCCTCCCTTCTCCCCTTCCCATCCCACCCTCCCTTCCCCTTCTTCATGCATGCCCCCTCCCCAAGTCCACTGCTAGGGGAGGTCCTCCTCTCCTTCTTTCTGATCTTAGTCTATCAGTTCTCATCAGAAGTGGCTGCATTGTCATCTTCTGTGGCCTGGTAAGGCTGCTCCCCCCTCAGGGGGAGGTGGTCAAAGAGCAGACCAATCAGATTATGTCAGAGGCAGTCGCTCTTCCCATTACTATAGAACCCACTTGGACACTGAACTGCCATGGGCTACATCTGTGCAGGGGTTCTAGGTTATCTCCATGAATAGTCCTTGGTTGGAGTATGAGTCTCTGGGAAGTTCCCTGTGTTCAAATTCTCTTGTTGCTCTCCTTGTGGAGTTCCTGTCCTCTCCAGCCACTATTTCCCACTTCTTACATAAGATTCCATTCACTCTGCCCAACAGTTGGCCATCAGACTCAGCATCTGCTTTGATAGTCTGCAGGGCAGAGGCTTTCAGAGGCCCTCTGTAGGTTGTCCTGTTTTCTTCTTCTGGCTTTCAGAGACCCTCTATAGCAGGTTCCTAGGTTGTTTGCTGTTTTCTTCTTCTGATGTCCATCCTCTTTGCCTTTCGGGATGGGGATTGAGCGTTCTTTAGATGTACAGATTTTAGTGGGTTTATCCTATGTTGTATGTCTATATGAGTGAGTATATACCATGTGTGTCTTTTTACTTCTGGGACAACTCACTCAGGATGATCCTTTCCAGGCCCCATCATTTACCTGCAAATTTCATGATTTCCTTATTTTTCATTGCTGAGTAATATTCCATTGTATAGATATACCACAATTTCTGCATTCATTCTTCAGTTGAGGGGCATCTGGGCTGTTTCCAGCTTCTGGCTATTACATATAAAGCTGCTACAAACATGGTTGAGCAAATGTCCTTATTGTGTACTTGAGCCTCTTTTGGATATATGCGTAGGAGTGGTAAGGATCTTGAAGAAGCGCTATTCCTAGTTGTCTGAGAAAGCGCCAGATTGATTTCCAGGTAAACATATTTCTTAAGTAAATTACTGGATGATTGCCCAACCCATCAGGCTTTTTACATTTGTGCTGTGATTTATTTAAATGGCTATTCAGACCCAACTTCATTTAAAATTATGTTTTAAACTGAACTAGAACGTTTCTGTCATTATAGAAAGTTTTGTTAGATTGTGTTGCTCAGATGTTCACATTTCTCTTCTACCTACCTTGAGTAGTCCATATTTATACAGAATGGTTCTATAATTATCAATAATTTCCTGTGCCACGTAGTTCAAACTTCTTAGAGACTTGTACAGTTTCATTTATTTAAAAACTGAATATGAGAGAGAGAAAGTAATTTGAAACCAAATCATGCATAGTGTCTCTCTGCTCTGTGGTGCATGGCCTCCACTGCAGTTGAGGGCCAAAGGAATCACTTTAATTTATTTTTTAGATTTATTTTATTTTATGTATGGGTGTTTTGATTGCATTTTGGAACCATGTGCATGCCTGCTGTCTATGGAGGTCAGAAAAGAGGATAGTTACAGATGTTTCTGAGCGTGTGGGTGCTGAGAATAAAACGGGGTCAACCAGAGAAATCTTGAAGCTAAGCTAGCAGTTTGTTGTACCATGGATAGTAATTTTTTTCCCCGAAGGCCTGCAACTACTCATGATATAATAGCAAGCTCTTAGATTAAAAGTAGGGAGAAGGGGCTGGAGAGATGGCTCAGAGGATAAGAGCACTGATTGCTCTTCCCAAAGGTCCTGAGTTCAATTCCCAGCAACCACATGGTGCCTCACAACCATCTAAACATGAAATCTGGTTCCCTCTTCTGGCATGCAGGTGTACATGCTAACGCACATTGCATAAGTAATAAATAAATCTTTAAAAAAAAAAAAGTAGGGAGAAATCAAATCCAACACTTAACATTTTTCCATCCAACTGAAAATTCTTAAGAACTCCTAAATTTTAAGACTCATAACATTTCATATATTAATGAAATCCTGTTATTTTAAGCTATTAATCCTGTTATTATCATTTTTACTTTAGTTTGCTTTATAGTTAATCTCTTCTTATATATGTCTCATTTAATGATTATTTTCATAGAATTAATTTCTAATTATTTAAAGGCCTGAGATTTACTGAAGGTTCTTTCCTTTACTTATATTTGTGTACAAAAAAGGGGATTTTTAAAGTTACAAAATTTTTTATTTTTTATTTGTGTGTGTGTAGGTGGGTATGCCCTGGCATGTGAATAGAGCTCAGAGGAAAACTTTGGGGTTTTTTCCTTCCATCTTTACATGGGCTCCAGGGATTGAGGGCAGGTTGTCAGGCTTGTTCAGCAATTGCTTTACTTTCTGAGTCATCTCATTGGACCAAGAAAAAAAATATATGTAGAAAAATCTGTATTTATATAACATTAACAAATCATTATATTTTTGCTTTTGTTTCTTTTTAAAGGAGACATTTCTAAAGGAAGCAAAGCTTCAATTACTCATTCCAAGTTGAAATCAGATATCACAGACACTCTTGGAGACTCAGACATTGGAACACACTTCTCTTTGCCCCTTGAAGATTTCAATGGGTTTGCTGTAAGTCCTCAGGGAAGCACTGTTGGTCACCACAGTTACACGGTCAGCCAGAAGGCATTGGCAGATAGTCATCTCCCTGAAGACAGGCTCAGTCTGAACATTGCAAATACCCCTTAATCAGCTGACCAGAAGGCATTATCAGAACCTTCTGCTTCTTACCCATATAGGGAAAAGCCCAGGATGTTTTTCAGGTTTTTATCTAATGGGCCAGTCCTTAGCAGTTCCCACTGTTACTGTAGCCAACGACTTGAAGATTGTGGCAGTAGCATTTGCCCTCTTTGTACTCAGAGAGAGAGAAGCCCAGTCTTTTCTCTAAGTAGATAGCTATATTTCCAGATAGCTATCCAACTAAGGAGCTCTGAAAGAGTTGTTTCTGGACTGGTTGACCAGAAATAACAACAGAAATAGCAATAGTATCCTCCATTTCTCACTCACATAGACAAAAGCCTGAAAAGTCTGTACTTTCTATCAGCAGGTTGTTCCAGAAGGCAGTCTATCTGAAGAGGCTCTCAAAGGTTCAGTTCATCTTGGACTAGCTACCCCAAATACTGGGGTATCACCTGTAAGCTCATCTTCCTATTCACAAAGAGAAAACCCCAGTCTTTCATATCAAGAGGGCTTGCCAGATGGTTATGAATTTGGTCAGGAACTGACAGTTTCAGCATTTCCTGGACAAGCTGATCAGAAGAATGGTTTTTCAGTAGTGACTCCTACTTTGTATTCACAAAGAGAAAAGCCTGGTATTTTCTATCAACAAGCCCGGACAGGTGGTTATTTACCTGAAGAGACTACAGAGGCACCAGCTGCTCCTAGGCTGGGTGACCAGAAGAGTAGCTTCTCAACAGTAACTTCTTACTTACAAAGTAACAAGCCTGGTGTTTCCTATGACCAGACCTTCACAAGCAGTCATTTACCTGAAGACACTGTAAAATCTTCAGCTGCTCCTAGGCTGGGTGACCAGAAGAGTAGCTTCCCAACAATAACTTCTTCTTACTTACAAAGTGACAAGCCTGGTGTTTCCTATGAACAGACCTTGACAAGCAGTCATTTACCTGAAGACATAAGATCTTCATCTGCTCCTAGGCTGGGTGACCAGAAGAGTAGCTTTTCAACAGTAACTTCTTCTTACTTACAAAGTGACAAGCCCGGTGTTTCCTATGAACAGACCTTGACAAGCAGTCATTTACCTGAAGACACTGTAAAATCTTCAGCTGCTCCTAGGCTGGGTGACCAGAAGAGTAGCTTCCCAA